TGAATGAAGTATTTCTTCTATTTCCTCTTTAATGGTTGGTTCTTCTGGTGATAAGTATTTGTCTTGTTCTTCAGACTTATTCGGTGATACACCATGAATTTGTTTGTCTTTTGTTTCGGTATTAATTTGAGAATTAGTTTCTTGTTTATCTTCTTCTACGACTTTCAATTTCTCAATATCCTCATTTTCTCCAATAATTTCAGACGCTAAATCAATTGCCTTCTTTAAAACATCATCAACTACTTCATTTTTTACTACTTCAGTTGTTGCTTCATTGTCATTTGATGGTTTTGTAACATCTATATTTTCGGAGTGTTGTTGAAGCTCTTTCCATTTTCTCATTTCTTCTTCTCTTTGTTGTTTTCGTTGAAGCACAATCTCTTTAATCTTTTTTTCATCCTTATCAGTTTCCTCTTCTGTTTGTTTCTTCTTTTCTTCATCTTCAATAAGTGTTAGTACATCAGTCATTTCGTCATTTTCTATATCAATTAATAATTTTGTAGTATATCCTTCTATCTTTTCTTCATTGACATTAACTGGTGGTATTTCTTCATTTTGTTTTTGTTGTAATGTACTTTCTGTTTTTGTTGTAGGGTCATTTGAAAGATGTTTTTCATTAGATTGAATACACAATACTCGAATGGTTTCAATTGTTGATAGCCATAAATCTCTGTCTAGTTTATTTTTGCACTCAATCTCTCGTAATCCACATGATGTTAACAATATAATTTTCTTTTCATTACTTCGACTTATTCCAATTTTATGAATTTCATTTCCTGATAACTCTTCTATCTTTCCACTTCTATCCCAAATTCTGACTTTGTTATTGACAATTCTCCAATATTCTCTTCTTCCTTTCTCAATGACAACTCCTCCATGATAATCATATCTTGTGATCTTCATCTTGATTTTCTAGTTCAATGAAACAAGTTCCAAAGGGTGAAGAAGTTATTCTCCATGTTTATGACTTAATGGACAACACATACCTCTACCCTGTGGGTATGGGAGCTTATCACAGTGGTGTTTGTATCTTTGGTAGAGAATATTCATTTAGTGATGGTGGAATATTTGATACTCGTCCTAAAGACGTAGAAGCACCATTCAGAACATCAATCAATATGGGAATGTTTAGAGGAAGTTATAAGGATTTCCAGTATGTAGTTGATTCACTTCGTTCAGAATTTGCACCTGGAACATATAATTTGTATAATAAGAATTGTAATTGTTTTTCAAATGCACTTTGTTTGAAATTAGTACAACAACCTATTCCAACATGGGTCAATAGAATGGCTTGGTATGGAAGTCAATTTGAGAAGTTCTTTGGAGCAGGTCCTCAAACTCAACAAAGTGGTCCAATTCAACAAACACCAACTAACCATTCTACCTCTCAAATTCAATCTTCTGGACATAAACTATCAGAAACGCCTTCATCACTTCCTAGTGATCCTAAAGAACGAAGACAAATGATTATAGAACAATACAAGAAAACAGTAACAAAATAAGATCAATTGAATTATTTTTTACATGAAGAGGCTAAATAATTAGGAATAATAAATGCAAGAAGATAAAATGACACTAAAAACAACAAATAATATCTTTTAAAGAATGAACGTTCATCATCTATATTTTTTGTTGCAACTAATAAAGTAATTGATGTATTTGTATATGCAGATAAAGTAATTGTTGTTGCTTGATTAGTTAATACAATATCAATCCAAGTATGATTCCAGCCTTGAAAAGAAGAGAAAAAAATATTGTTATAAGGCAATATAGAAAAAATAAAGGGATATTCAAGATACTTTGAGTCAAATGAAGGACCATCACTTTCAAATAAAAAGGAAGTAGAGTTAATAGCAAATAAATAATATTTTGAAGAAGTATTTTCATTTGTAATGTTCATTCGATTTTCATTTGAAACAGCAATAATATCCATTGGTTCAAAACGATGAATTGTATTTCCTGTTTCTTTTTGAACTTTCATTCCACTAATTGTCCATTTTCCATCAACCAATAATAAAGGAATACTTGCTGAAACACAAGAAAATAGAAAGATGAGAAAAGTAATCATAAACAACAAGTAACAATTCATTTTCTAAGTTTGTTTTCATACAAAAAATAAAATTTTAAACCACAAAAAAAAAGAAAGATTAAATAATTGATAGATGCAAATAGAATTTGCAGCTTATGACTGTGAATTACAACACTTAATTTTTGGATCAAATCCAATATTACAAGGGGGTTGTACTATGTATGAAACAATGAAAGGAGTTATAGGAGAAGAAGTTTGTTCATTAAGACTAAGAAATGCACAAGGTTTAAAAACAGATTGTATTTTTACTTCTCTTGATGGTGGATTAATGCTTGGTGCATGTGGACCATTAGAAATAATACCAGATGTATTATCAATATTGAAACAATCAATAACAATGAGATATGGTTGTTATAAATCACTTAAACCAATAATAGAATGTGAATGTGAAGACCCTGGTAAAGCAGCTAAAATCAGAGCCGCTTCACTCTTAAACAACCCCACATTTCTTCCTATTATTCATTCAATTTCTTCTCATATCTCTTCATGCACACCTATTCTTTCACCAACACATCCTCTCTTTAATCCTAGAATTCCATATCGTTCACCAACAATAGCATCATTTACTAATTCAATGAGATATATTAGTAAACGTGTACTTGATAATGCATTACTTGGAGCAGCATTATATGTGAATAAAGAGAATTATATTACTATTGCATCAACATTACCAAGTGACATTGATCCAATAGTTCGTCTTGTTTCATTAGCATTGTCTAGTGAAACTATGGCAAGAAAAACTACAGTATCTCAAATTTATTTAACGATTTCACAACTCAACGCATTAACTGCATCATCAGTAGTTGTTGGCAAACAAAATTATGATAAAATCAAAACCACATTACATGATTCACCAATAATTTGTGATGAATGTCAATTAAAAAAAGTGAATATTGTAGTAACAGTGAATAAAGGATTTGTAATGGTAGAATTAGCTTGTTGGAATATTACACCAGAATATCTTGAACGTTCTGAAACAGAAAATCTTGCAGGAATGGAAGGACTAAGTTCAATCTTTCAAATGGAAGGAAGAAAAACAGATTTAATGAGACTAAGAATAGACTATGATACATTAATGGTTGAACCAAGTAAGTTATGGGCAAGTAATGTTAATGAACAATTACTAAAATGCATTAATATGGAAAAAATAAATTATTTGGAAGGAATAGATAATACAATTGTTGTTCCAGAAAATGAAAATGAATGTTATTATTGTTCACAAAGTCTAAATGAATTAAATGCAATAAAAGTTAGTTTTAATGAAATTGATAAAAAAACTTATTAATTATATTTCTTCTTTTCTTGTCGTTTCATTTATTTCAATATTAAAATCTTTTGAATATTAAATTATTATCTTTAAGAAAATAAATTATTTTTAATCCTTTCTTTTTTCTTTTCTTTTGAATCAGTTTTTGTATCGTTGTTATCAAAAGTACTTGTATATGTTGTTGTTTTTATATTATTTATCTTTTTCTTATAAATGATTTTCTACCTTTTATTTTTTATTCTTAATACTTCTATATTACAAGACATTACTAATAACTTTGTTATATTCTTAAAACATTATATTTATTTACTAAGTCTTTTCTACATCATTTTTTATTTTCATTATTGATTCAATCGTTATTCAATATACTTTCTATTTAATGAATAACAATAACTTTCCCTCAGCAGATCGATTTGTTCTATATTTCCACGAATCTTGATTTTTAATTACCAGTTAAACGTTAAGATAAAACTTTTGTTGTGTAAAAATAACAAAATTTTGTAAAAATCAATAAACGTAACTGATACTAATAACCAAAAAAATTCATCATTCAATAAGAAATGGGAGTCTTTCAAGGAAAAGAGCAATAAAACATAATAAAAATGAAAGACTAAATATGAGAAATTAAGTTATAATAAAAATCAAATATGAATATAAAAGAACAGTAAATAGTTGTTCACATTAAAATAAACAAAAAAAAAAAAGAATAAAGAAATAATAAAAATTATTTAATATAATGAGGAATGACAAATAAAAAACTGAATCAAAGTGGGATTGTAAACTTCTTCTTGAAATTAATGAACTATCTTTTAATTAATATCAAATGGAATTTGGACAAACAATCCTCCCAATTCAACCCCTTCGTTTAGAACAACCTGATATTATCACAGAAGAAGAAAGTAATGATAAAGGTGTTGTGTTTAGATCATTTGATTCAAATCAAACTAACAAATTAACAAAACAGGAGAAGGAAGAAGTTCTGATTAAAGAAATAACAATGAAAAGCAAATACAAAAGTTCAGAAAAGAAACCAAAGAAAAAACAAAAGACTACAATTAAGAGTTCATTAGAAAGTTGTGGTGTATTAAAGAATCATAATATGCCATTAACACAAGATAATATTTCTAACATTAATCATATATTTCCAGTTAATAAATATATTCGCATTAGACAATGGATTAATCTTAATAATAAAGATTGTTTATATCCATATCCTTTTCTTTCAATGTAATAATTATTTAATTTGCATTCTCAACAATAAAATTCAATTCAAGAAATTCAGTTTGTATTGTTTATTATTTTGGTTTTATTTTAATTCATTAATACTTAAAAATAACAAAAATTAAATTTGGGGTTTGATAAAAAAAA